AGCAAATGAATTTGTAACACAGCTTTGTTGATTAGATAAGCAATGTTGCATTATTGTTCAAATATAATTCTGAGAACATATTCTTAAACTCGAAAAACAATTGAAGAATACCTTTCCTACTAAGTTAACTAGTTACACTAATTTATGAGGTGACTTGACTCAAACACTGCATGGATAAACCTTTGCTGGTTTTATTTAAGTGACTGTATTCGACTAGTATATGCATATATCGTGATAGCACTCAAATACGTACTTCAATGTGACTAACTAAATGATTTTAATGTTGCTTGAACGTCTCTAATATCTTTTAGATTAGCGAAGATTGCTGTTCCTTTGTTTATATGATAGTTGCTATAGCACGAGTATAGTAGCGTTTTAATAGCGAAACACATTGAACTAGTTGTCAAAAACCATCGTTGAGTTCATTGCCAATAAATGTCTATAGTCTGTCGTCGAGCCAATCACTCGAATCGCAATTGAAAATAATAGACTTTATACAAAAAAAAAGCAACCAGTTTCCCGCGCAATAAAAAATAGACAACTGTCAAGGAGGCTTTCACAACTCAGTAGCCGATTTCACTTTCACCGGTCAGTAATATTTGATAGTGGAGTTCGAGAAAACATATTGGCAAGTTTAGAAACCGGTCATATAGTGCCACATATCGTTAGCGAATATACCTAAATAGATGTGACGTTATCTACTACTTGTAATGCTTACGTAACTACCAGTTATCTACCGTAAGTTTGTAATAATATTTGTTTTTCTATTAATAAAACTAACGGTAGAACGCATTGTTTACTTTTTAATGAAATAAACACCCATGTTTTACAACGAGCATAGAGATTATTTAGTTTTATTTGCAACCAGTACCTACCATGAATACATCTGGCTTGCTGAAACAACGACAGGACAAAAAAATCAATCGTCCCAGTAATAAAAATCAACTTCATAGCTTTTAAGATGGCGAAAACAATATCTGTGTTTGATTTCTAATTAAGACACATTTTAATAAATGTGATACATTTCAGGATATCGCGTAAACGAAGTAATTATTCAATTTAATTACTACTGCGTTAGGTTAACTGTCGTACTGCTGACCCCGATTACACGGTTCATTCTCAACATTCCGAGTCGCCATTAAATTGGCACTAATTCAAATATTTTTTACGTTTAAATGTCGTGCACTCAGATCTAAAACTGTGAATGACAAAATAGCCATCTTACTGTTATGATGTAATCGTTTGTTTCATGTTATCAACACAACACAAACACCTTTTTAAAAGATCAAACTTTTGTAATGGGAACACTAACAAATTATCTTTTTTATAGTATCAGGTGAGAAAGCACATCGAGATCATGAACATCATATTAGACAAATATCGCCGTAGAAATTATTCTCATACGATTAAAAGGAAAGGCTAAATTAAAATTTTCTCTCTCGTAATGATCAATATTATGTCATCAAATTAAAAAAATCGAACAAAAACCAAGCTTCAAAAGGAAAAGTAACTCGCAAAATGGCGCCATTTACAAAACTACCTAACCTAAAATATCTTTCTCGGTTTAATTTTCACATCAAATGCGTTCCAGATTTATTTAAACGTAAGGATAGTGCAATTTGCACCGTTTATTTTGCCACGAGCCGTTTAAACTGGGTCGCAACTATAAACAGCTGCAATACTAGACAACGCGTTGTTCGCGATTCTTTTGCCCCAGTTTCTCTGTTTACGTGCTTAGTAACAGCCGGAGATATTGACGTTTTTATAATTAGTGTTGCCAGCTTCCCGTCTATTGTAATTACTAAATAATTTCCAGTAACAGGATGCCATTGACGTGACTTGTACTAACAAAAATTGCAGTCTCTTTTTTAGTTAAAATGAAGGAAAGAGATAAAGATATAAACTACTACACACAAAATATCAACATACAATATCGAAACCAAGTTAATGAAATTAGCAAAAATAATTTCGGATACAAATTGGTCAGCTGCATAAAAATATCTCTTTTTAAGTTGAATTAAATCTCAACCATAACAGGAAATATATTATAGAAAATTCGAAACAAGGAATTCCGTATATAATGTAACATGTAAGTTATTTGACACCGGTTTTAATTTGTATTGATAGTTAAAATAATATAAACACGCTATAATGTAATTATATTAAAACCGAGGTAGCAGTAACTATTAAAATAAGTAGACCGGTATTACTAATGACTTTTTAAAATGAAATATTAGGGAAACTTGTTATTCTCCAATATATTTAGGTCTTCAAAATATTGCTGCTCATACTTTGACCTACCTAACAATAATTATTCTATTTCGCGAACAATTAGGTAATAGTCTAGTAGGGTACAGAGGACTCATAAAAGTATTAATTAATCACAATACATTTTGTACCATTTTGAGCAATCTGGGTCCACATTATAATCAGGAACCCTGTTTACTACATGTCAAGCAAAATGGATTTATTTCAAGTAGGCCAGGTCCGGGCGAACGAGAGCGGCGGCATCGCCTTAATGCTAGATTCACACAAGGGCAGAGCAGTAAATAGTGCAGTAGACTAAACTGTGCAGTTTGAACGCAGACTTATTGACAAAACAGTACCGTTCTGTCGCCACGTTGTTGTACTGCAGTATCTACTGCTCTGTTTCACTTTGCTAGCCTCGTGTGAAACTAATATAAGATGCGGTTGACACATCGACGCAACGTCGCAACGTCTACCGGATTTAGTTGTTGCGACAGCCGCGAAGAGAATTTTCAGTACCTGCTTTAGCAGTTCTTAAGTGACTCACATGTAACCACACCCTGGGTTTAACAGAACGTAGTAGCATTATAAAGCTCAACGAAGAAACCCTAATTCGTATTCAACCACCAGAAAAAATTAAATCACTACCGACTTTGACGATACTGAAACAAAACCATGATTTTACTAGAATATTGTTTTAGTATTTTGTAAAGCTACAAAATTCTTATAACAAACATAGAAAGAAAATATACTATAACATGTATTAAAATTAACAAAACATTTAGAACTATTTTTTTCAAATAATATAGCAAAGAATGACTATGGAGTTTTAACTAAGAATTATTATTTAATTTTAAAAGACAAATCAACGCAGATTAACCACTACGATCATTTTCTAATAATGGCAATAAAAAAGTAAATAAAAAAACAAAGTTGCACGCGCCAATGCGGATGCAGGGCCAACGAACGGTGACAGGTGAGCCACCGAACAAATTGTTACTTACTTTTACTAGGACATTTCAAAAGCTTTTATTTACGAATTTAATGAAAAGTTAAACAATTTTATTTAGTATATACTGAAGTAATAAATATGATAAAAATTACAAATAAATAAACAATACAATCACACAAATAATCAAGATTTTATTCGAATGGAGTCAATGTTCAGGTTAAGTTGCCATAGGCGAATTTAAAGCTCTGTTACATTATTTTATCGATACTACAGTCTTACGGGGATTTGCTCATCAAATGCAGCAATCTGTGCGGACCCCGCATTATGATTCTACAAGGATAGACGCGCATTCCTGGAGGTCGTTACAACGGACTCAGCGTCATTCATTAGCCTGAGCGCATTCCCTCACATATTAATCCCTCTTCCTGTCAAAGACTAAACATATTTGTTTGATGATCTTAATGCCACACGAGTCGATTAATGTTTTACACCCTTAGAAAAGATTTCTTATATTAAATTTACTCTAAGGTACGCTCATAGTGACTACTAATAACTAAATGAAACGTTAAGTATCCGTATATTATGTAGAGTGGTAAATATCATCTCTTCATATTTAGTTATTCTATGTTTGTATTGACAAGTACTAACTAATGACAGCTGTATTTGGCGCCAAAATCGCTTTACGTCACAGCTGTAATATAAATTGGCATTCGTCCGATTCGTAGAGGAAGCGATGGAATCCAGGGTATTAGCTAAATATTTGAATATCACAAAACCATTGTTGTTATTTCTCACGGTTCTATGTGTATTTAATTTTTGTTTTTTATTTATTGTTATACGTTAAAAACTGGTAACACTAAAGTCTTTTTTTTCTCAACTAATAGCAAAATTATCTAATAACATTATTGTTAACAAATAAGATACCATTTGTTTGAAGTTGAATGACGATGTAGGCACATTATAGAAATCATCGATGTCGCTGCATCATTCGTCAAGTACCGTAAGTCATTTGCTTCATTGGATAAGAGCGATTGACCTACATTTCTTACTCGCTTTGGTTGGAAAAGCAGCTGTTACCTCCATGTGGTAGCAAACCGGCCCTGACATACTTCTTTCTTACACCGTTCTCTAAGACCTAATTACATGGAAGTAATAGTAGAATTGTAGATTAATGATAGGAAACTGAGGGAACAAGGAAACCAACCCGACCGGTCGTTAACGGAACTAGTGCGTTTAAATTACCAATCCGATTCGTAAGCGTTATCAAAGGTAATAACTTTTGTTTGAACGATTATGCGTCGAACTACGATGAAAATATGCCTTAGTCACGAGACCATTAAATTTTTTATTGCACCGAAGTCCAATGTTTTGTAAAATAGAAATAAACACTAAATTCTATCTTTTATGTACCCGAAGAACATGAGATATAACAATTTTTTAAAGTGTTTGCTCGAGGCAAAAACTATTTTAGATCTGCCAGAAATTATTAATTTAATAAGACACTATTAGGTATAGTTTTAAAGTTATTTTATGACGTTTTATAATGTACTCAAAACTTTGTTATTTAAACTGAAGATGTACCTTTTTCAAAGCAACTATTAATGAGTCATAATACCGACCGTAATATTGGATTTTGCATGCCGATACAAACTATGAATAGAAAAGAAAATCATAGATTATGTTGCCAACTGTAATCAGAAATACAGTATAAAATAGTGTTTTGGTTGCAAACACGTTATCACGAACCGAATCTCGGTGTTGCCATTACAGATAAATAAAATTACTAACAAATAAAACATACCTGTGTAAACTGTGAGGATATTTTGGTATGATCTTCTTGATAAACTTTGCGGGTTTTCCGCCGTTCTGTCATCAATGTGATGAGGCGGTCTAAAGCCCGAGACTCCAGGGCTTCCGCATTAGCCTTGATGAGGCGACTGGTGTTCTCCCACTCTTCCGTCATGGTTCGCCAAGCGGACGCTATTAAGGACCCTGGAATAATAAACTCAAGTTACCATAAAGCTTATTTATATATTTACATATAGTATGTTTTCTCAACGATAATGAAATATATTATATATTTCATACAGATAAAAACCATTTAAACCCACTATAAAAATTCGAGTAAAGAATCTTCACAACTTCAGTAATCAATACCAAAATATTTACACGAATATTTCTATTGACCATGTTTTCATTTTATTTATTAGTCAATACAAATGTCCAAAAGTAATATCGTCATTTATTGTGCCTAAAGTTTATTATAGCATACCTCGTTAAAACTAACAGATTCTGCGGTCAAATTTACTAATTTACAACGATGTCAGTAGCCTATTTAGTAAAGCGTTTTCCCAGTCGAGACCGACTTCCTATGACTTATTTTGATATCACTTTGTATAACAAATATTTCATGACAGAAGGAAAACGAAAAATTTGGCTATCGCAAGTTCGAATCCTATACGCTTCAATATCGATTTAAACTTGAACTTTATTTCCATTGACATTTACCGTTTACATCATTAGTAGCTTTTGTTCGCGTCTTCGCCCGTGTAAAATTAAAAATATAGGCAATGTTACTCACTGATAACGTAGCTTTTTAAAGGTGAAAAAAGTTTTGAAATCGACCCAGTAGTTTTTAAATTATTTCAATACATACAAAAATACAAATCATTTCTCTTTATTATATGAGTATAGACTATAAATAAAGATTATATTTTTCTCATAACAGATTTCGTTTACGATTACAAGAAAAAAAATTGTTTACTTTACTAACAAAATATTACAGACTATTCCGCATTACGTTGATTTTTATTAAAACAAGAAAGCATAGTTTTCTATGAAACTAGAAATAAATTAAAAGCAATAGTTCTTAAGCGACTCAGAGGTTTTCTTTGTTCCAGAAAGTCTTTGTTCCATTTCGTCCTGCACATTTAAAATTAACCGTTATGAGGGTACATTGGTAAATGACCAGGTATAAAATAACAAATACTTTCACACGCTTTTAAATGTCAAGGATATTTTAGTTTATGTGTATTGGTTAAGTTACTTGTAATTAATACCATTGAGATCCTCGCACTTGTCCATTTTCTGGCCTTGAGCAGCGGCAGCAGAGAGGGCGAGGGCGTATTCGCGGTCGCTCTTCATCTTGGCCTGGAGACTCCTCTTCATGGTCTCCATTAAGCGCAACTCGGCGTCCTGTCGCGCCAGCAGCGCTTCGTGCGCCGCCCGCCCCGCTCCGCTCGATGCATAACCCATCATAAATAACAAACCACTTTA